ATGGAGTGTATGTGGAGTGGCATATATCCAGCTCATCTAAAATACAGTCACTTCATGGAAGTGTTAAGCTGTAAAAATGTATTCATTATACATTTTTGTTGTTCATTATAATAAGCATTGTTTTTCTGCATGACAGAAGTAGGAAAATGTCATTATTAATCCTGTCCATGATTTGGACAAAGATAGCCTTTGTTTCCATCTACTGAATAAGATATTTATATTCATTGTTTTGGAGAAACTAAAATTGGACAACTGAAGGTAAATATTTCTCTCAATCATTTAGCACATTTAAGTCTGCAGGGTTCAGATTAAGCAGTGGTGGTGGTGGTGTGGAGTTAGTCAGCATCATGTAAGGCACCAAACATTCTAAAATAGACTACCAAAAATATTATAGTGGTGTCACTTTGGCTGAAGAGCTGCACATTTTCCAAGACTTTCCCTCTTGCTCTTTACTCCATCTGTATATGTTACAATTCATGGAATCACACATTAGTCTGAGTTGGAGAAGTCCTTTAAAGACAATCTAGAACAGCCCCCATGAAATGAGCAGGGATATTTTCAACTAGATCCAGTTGCTCTGTGCTCTATTCAACCTGACTTCAATTTTTCCAGGGAACTTGTCCGGACAACCTGTTCCAGTATTTCACCTTTCTCACTGTAGAAAATTCCTTCTTTATATCTAGTCAGAATCTATCTGCTTTTGGTTTAAAACCATTGTCCTTTGTCCTATTGCAACAGTTCCTACTAAAAAATCACCATCTTTCTTGTAAGCCCCCTCTAAGTACTAGAAGGCTGCCATAAGGTCTCCCCAAAGCCTTCTCTTCTCGAAGCTAAATAGTCCCAACTCTCCCACCCTTTCTCCACAGGAACATATTTCGTTGCACTGACTATTTTTGTGTCCCTCTTCTGGACCGTCTTCAACAGGTCCTTGCCTCTTCTGTGCTGGGGCCCCAAAGCTGGATGCAATACTTCAGGTGGAGTCTCACCAGAGTGGAGCAGAGCAGAGGGCCAGTCACCTCCCTCAACCTGCTGGCCACGCTGCCTGTTTATGCAGCTCGACATACATTTGGGACCATTCAGCTTGGTGCTGTCTGTAAACATGATGAGGGAGCACTTGATCCCATTGTCTGTGACACTGAAGATATTAAACACTACACTTCCCAATACAGACCTTTGAAGGACACCCCTCACCACCAATCTCCATCTGGACATTGAAACAGAGTATGAGTTACCAGCTCTTTAGCAACAGTTGTTTTGTTAGCTAAGAGTGCTCGCCTCTCATTTCTAGGTACCCTACTGTTACTTCTGCCTTCCTGAAATTCCAGGTCAAACTCAAGTTTTTGTTGCATTAATGCAGCTTCCTCATGAAGTATGCTTGTTTCCAACTCTGCAGCTCCATGATGCTGATGTAGCCTCAGCCTAATTGAGTGCCATCCTTCTGCTGACCCACCTGAGCCACCAGTGCTGCTCTTCAGGGCATGACTCCAGCTACACCATCAGTGAGGGCTGTTCCATGGCTTTCTTAAAGCCATCAACTCTGTGCTTCTGTCTGTGTCCAGATCAGCAGCTACAGCTTTCTTTCATATCCATATCCCACATTCTGGCATGTCCAAATTCTGTTCTTCTGTGTCCCAGTCCAATAATCCTCCTCTACTCTTCCTCATCAGCCCTGTCTGTATTTTATTCTTATTTACAAGTTATTTTGTATCTGCCTACTGCAACTTCCCCTTTTTCTTCCAAGGCTCATTAATGCTCTCTAAGTCAGGCTGAAAGTCTCAGCAGGTTTACCTCTTCCTCTTTAGCTGGCATCTTTTCATTCTCTCTCAGGAATGGAGAGGTGCCAAATCTCCCTGAGCAGCTCAGTTTTTTCTCCGAAACTCATCCCATCCTAGACTTCTACAGAAAAGCCACAATAAACTGATGAAAACTTAAAGGAAGGATGTCATCCTTACAGGATAAGCTCTGGTTTCTACTGCAAGATCCTGGTAAATGTCACTCACTGCAAAAGAATGGCATCAACATGTCTGCATAAAGTGAAGGAGTCTGCAACAAGTAGCATATGTTCTAACAGATAATTCTTTTAGATGATGACAGGATTTCAAAATGTCTTAACTGGGACTGACACAATGCAATATACTAATCATTTGACAGTGCATAATATCTTTATTTAGAACAATAAAGCATATGTATATAATGTTAATTCCAAATCTGAACTGGTATAAAAAGGGATCTGGGAAAACATCTATCTTTTAAGAGGACACATATGTACATACACATCACATTTTATAAACTTTGTTGATTACCTTCAGTCAGAACGTAACTATGCAAAATTGTGCTGATATTTACACTGAAATAAATGAATTTACCCATAATGCAACCAGCAAACATCTGTGTCTCTATCACTAAAGAGTCTGAAGTTTCCATATTCCAGCAATTTGATAACAAAATAGCAACATGCCACCATTACTGTAAATCTGCATTTAAGACAGCTGAATCAGATTCCAGAATTGAAAAATGTTGGATAAATCTTAAATATAAATCTAACTCAAAATATCAGTATTTTATGTGTACATTTAGATTTTCAATTTAATAATTCTATTTTGTGTACTAAACAGTTTCAGCATATTACGTAGAGCAACACAGAAAACAGAGCTGCTGCAGATGAGAATCTAAAAAATGTGCAGGTTGTACACATACGCCACAGTAAAGCACATTTTATAAGCTTGCTTATAAAATGACCTCGTGATGAAATACGTACCATTAATTTATTCAAGTAAACACGCATCTAAAGTAGAACAGTTACTCAGTATAAGACTATCTGCTTTTTCATTCTCACAAGGCCACTAGTAATTGCATGCAAAGTTCATCTATTTCAAAGGAAACCTAAAAATGTTACGTTTCTCACCAAACCACGGATATCCAAAAGCCAAATTTGGTTGACTTTTATATATATATAAAAAATAAAAAAAACACCATCCCTTTCCCCCCTAGTTTTATATTAAGAGGGAGGGTGTTGATTTTCCAACTGTATTAATGCATGGGCTCTGTCTACCCAAAAAGAAGACTGAAAAACTGATCACTCTTTAGAAGTTAAACTTCTTTAGAACTTAAGAAGTAATTAAAGGTCTATTTCTGCCACTCCAACTGAAGAGTACCTTATTATTCTCCATTGATTTCAAAGATATTTCACAAGTCAGTAGTCTTTCAGAATCTCCCTATGTCCAAAGTAAAGATCTCCTCAGCAGGCACAGAGTTTCCAGTAAATTCACGATCCCACTTCAAAGTGCCATGCCATCTTATGTATCCACGAATGTCCAGAAGTCTCCTTCTACTTTGCAAAAGGATTGAGAACACCCAATCAGATCTCTCTTGTGTTCAGATCTCTCAAAATGAGGGCAAAGAATGGGAAAAACCATGTGGTCCAGCAACAGTTCTGCCACTCCAGGTGTCATACGACTTTCATGCATGTTCAAAGAACAATGTTTGTGATGTGAAGGTCAAAAGTTTATACATGAGTTTTCTTTCTGTTCTCATGTAACTTAAAATTTACCTTGCTCCACTGAAGAGGTTAAAGTGTCTGACATTATTTGAAGGTGACTTACTTTAAGATGTTGCTCCTGGAAAGTGAAGAGTTTGTCATAGTCAATTTTTGTTTCTAGTATGTTTCAATTCATAACTGGTATTTTCTATAGTATTTACGATGAAGAAGCCTAAAATATTGTGCTTTTGAATATCAAAGTATAATTTGGGGCACACCAATGTGACCCAAATTATGTGTTATTGAGTATTTGATTTTCTGGAAAGAATGCATTTAGAAAAATGGATGCTTTTTAGCAACAAGGAACATTAATAAATACAAGCTTTTTGTTTTACTGAATCTAAGAAAAAAAACCCAAACCCTCAAATGCGTAAGCTAGCCTCAAGAGCACATTGTATTAAGTATTTAAGGTTTTTGTACAATGTGTAAGGATAATCGCTCCCATTTACTGTGGATACTTTTCCATTCAGTCAAAACCAATGCACAATTATTCTCTACATTACCAATAAGGTGAAAATTTCCATCAATTAGGACATGCTGACATTTCTTTTCAGGTAACTCTTAAGTTTGAAACTCAAAATCTGAGGGCCTTGTGAGTAAAGAACTACACTGAGTCAAAGGAGACTCAGCTTTAGATGGACAATTCCATTATTTGAGGAATTCACTTGCTTTTTAGAAGTGATGAGCAACCATGGTTATTTGTTGGTGAGTGCTCCAGCATCTTCAGAATAAACCTGAAGGCCAAATTCTGACACTAAGCTTTTTTTGATCTAGTCTAAGAGAAGTCCCCCAGGTGATGAAAACACTGAAGTTCTGTTACACTTAATGGAACTGTGCTAATACATACCAGCTGAGTAGGACTGAAGACCCTTTTCTGACAAACAGAAAGTGCAAAAAGGGCCTGAGTATAAATAAAAATTCCACATTAGCAAATCCTTCCATCAGTGAATTCATGAGAAATTTCAACCTTGATTACAGTAGGGACAAAATTCCACACAGTGTGGCTACATGTCACAAGTATGGTAAGGTTCTTTTTCTTTTTGAAAGTATGAAAGACAGTTTTACGAATAATAAACACACACACACGGATACACATACACACATATATTATATGTATGACATATTCTTTTTATGCATAGTTCTCAGAAAATTGAGCAGAAGATTAAAACTTCCACAAGAACTCTTAAAAAATTAGTAAATATACATTTTAAGGAGAACTCCAAATTTATGTAAAAGTTTAAAAGAGTTGTTTTGATTTTTTGGGGTTTTTTTTGGTTTTTTTTTAAGATTTCAGGTTTCTTAAACTAAAACTCCTGCTGACCTGGCCAATATCATGACAGAAGACAGTTTGTCACTTCATGTGAGCCTTTACCCTTCTGAATTACAACACCTAATACAGGTAAATAATTAATACTCATTATCTGGGAAGAGACAAGATGAAAAGATGCACAACTACACTTGAAACTTTTACCATCGTATTTTTAGGATTTACTTGAAAATGCATATCTGTACATCAGTCCTGTTCATATTCCATGATACTGTAACAGTAATAGATACAGAAGACAGGTGGGAAACAAAGTCTTTCTCTTTTGTTTCAAAAGAATTAACTTTCAAGAGTGGAGAATGCCAGGATATTAAAGCTTACTAATCACTCAAAACACAATGCAAACATTAATTACAGCTGATGTAAGTAAAAGCTAAATACACTCTCAGGATCTTTCAGATTTACTATGCTATACATTTAAAGACAAGGTATCAATGGCATGCATCTTCAGAATTTAAAATGCATTTCATGGGTTTGTCTTTATTATGATGTTTGAATGCAATTCAGACTCTTTACTTTGCCTTAGCATGACTGGAAATTTCACCAGTGTTCACATACCCAGCAATTACTCTTAATTCTTCGAAGCTCCATGAGGTTCATTCACCTCCAGTTTACTTTGTCTTCATCCAGTATTTGCTTCTCCTGAACAGAGACCACCAACGCTGATGAATTCTTGAGGCTTTCTGGGGTGGGCAACCAGCCACCTGGCAGCCGATAGAGACCACGTGTTGCTGTACACACAGCCTTTGACACAGCTCCTTATAAGTCTAAGTCCAGAACACAAACTCATGGCGTGACTTTGCTTTCAAGTTTTATATACAATATTGAAGAGTATGTTATCTGTATCCATTTCTGCATTTTCTGTCAGTTCAGAGACCTTCATCTGAAGACATCAATTTAACGTAGAGGACACAGAATTTAAATTAAGGATGCAAAGGTATTTATGACTTGCAATGATTACACATAGTTGGAAGCATTTTGAAAGATGCTTTTTTGTTCAGGACATACTTTGTTTGCCAGAGTCAGTTGAAAGTATTAATGCAATTAAAAAACTTCAAATGTCACACAAGGCAGATATTCACATAAGATACAGTCCTGCTAAGTGCTCACTCTTCTTATCATTGTTCAATTCAGTGTTGGTTTCACAGTAACAAACATAAATTGTCCTCATTTCTGTATCATGTCTATGGAGTCATGGGCAGCAACAACAGATGCAGACTCAGTCTGTCACTCCAGAAGGAATACGAATGTGCTTAAAGCTGCTTCATTTATGAAGCGAACATGGAACTGTTACCTGCCTGAAGAGAAAAAAAGAAATTCTGATTTTGCTGATTAGTTGTTCTTTCTGTATTTAACTAAACAGTAGACCTTCTCACAGATATTCAACATAGACATTTTTTCTTAAAATTTTGGAAATAAATTTAATGATACTTGCACAGAGATTTCTTAACTCAGAAAGAAAAATGTTATAAGATGTACTTTCCTAGTGCAAGAACACACTCGCCTGCAAAAGTTCATTGATGCCGTCTAAGGTAATGGAACAATTCTCATGGGTTTACAGAACTGTTATGTTTGGGCATTTTGGTACTGGCAATCTCTGGCAGCAAACTTCCCTTTCAAGTCATCTGGACAAACCAAGCTGTTTATATCTTTGGAAAAATGGAACAGCTTTTCCAATGCAGTGACAATTTTCCTTCTCAATGAGCATATGGTAGAACAAAGCATTTAAGGAGAATGAAAATCCTCTCAAGTTGTTGCTAACTCAATCATATAGAACACCTGAGAGTAACTGCTACAGGATGAACTGCAAAACTGAGATTGTTTTACGCTGCTCTTTCCACTCGTGATAAAAAACGAAGAGCTCAGCACTGTCTGAATTTTCCAGACTCTTACATAGATGCCATGGGTTAAATATAGCATGTTTCCTGTGGTAAGAAGCCTCTTGCCAGAGAAGTGCTCCTCTGCAGAGGACAGCTGGGACTGAGAAGCCTCACTCACCTTTGCTGGTCATCCTTACATACTAAGACAAGACTCATGTATCTGATAAGGCTACAGAGACTACAGAAATGTGCTGACTAAGCTACAATTACATAAAAGCTCAGCTCTACTTGGCCTGTTCTCCTACACTCACCTGCTAACTTTACCAGATTGTGTTTTTTTTGTTCACATTGCTTTGAAACAGGTATAGTGTAACAGCTGAAGGCATCTCTGTATCAGCTCTAACACCAAAAAGAAGAAGCAGTGTCTGTCCTTTATTCTGTAATTCTTGTAAATTTTGAAGCATTAAAAATTAATGATACAGGATTAATTAAATTAGCTGCTGAAGAGCTTATACACAAGTGAAACATACTGATAGCCAGATTTCTTTTTTCCGAAAATAGACACAAATATCACTACATTGTAACAGCTGAAAGAAGTTAAGTCTATGGTACAACTCTCACCATAACCAACTTACCAGTACACGAAAGAGTAACAGTGTTGAGGGACAAAAAGCAACAGCTACACTTGTAGATGTTCCTTTTCTTTTTGCTGCAACACACTGGGAAAAAAAAGGTACTTTATTACTACAATAATAGTCTTTCAGGGAAATAGAATAGAAGGGTTTATAAGTTAGTTAAAACTTTAAAAAGGGAACCCAAAGAATCATAATTTATGTTTGATATTAGTTCTTTTTGTGTTTGTCACAGAGCTAAACAGGAAGTCATTCTCTGAGATAAAACTACATCTGTAAATACAAATTTAAAGTGAAACAATATACCTTATCTCATTTTCCTCTTGATAGTCATGACACTGTGTAGTTTCATCACTTTCTGGTCTGGATTTGGGATGTTTTTTCTAGGAAAAAAATGTACTAAATATGAATATTCTAAAGCTATAAATATTCTAAAGCTATCTTTAGTAATGAAACAATTGTATGTTTCAATCTGCTTCAGATGTTCAATATCAAAGTCATCTTGCAAAATGTAGGCCAAATCCTGTCCTCTGACATACAGCTACTACTGATATAAATGTTACTATTGAAGTTTTTGTATTGTAGGCAAGGGCATAGGGGCCAAAAGCAAAAAAAAATTCCTTTTTCAACATACAATAGGAAAAATTGAAAATCGGGTGATTCACACAATTTTTGTTTCTAATTAGAGAGCGAGCATGCTGATAAGACAGCATTTGCACTTTGATGGTGGAATTCAATAATTTGACACACAGATTTACATCTGCAAGTCACAGTTAAGTGAAGATCAAAAGAGGTATCTCTTTCTTTCAAATACAGAATGGTTCTCTTATTCTCACCTCCCCACAGCTAAGAAATGTAGTGTCACTACGTAAACAATTATATGTAGCATCTCTTACCTTCCAGTATATGGCTCCCAAAATAAAGCCAATAAGGAGAGACAGCAGTGATGTCAGTGCTATGCTGATTCCTTGCAGGCTGGAGCTGCTAATGAAGCCAAGTGCTTCTTCTGTAATTAAAGATACTCTCATTAGTGAAGACAGATTTATAGCAGAAAACTGTCTTCAGGGCAACACTATTACAGAAGCACTTTCATGCACCACCTACATAACAGCATCTTAAATAGCAGAACAGATACTTCAAAGTGCAATGTATATGAGATGCACTTAATACAAAATCTTACAGGAAATTTTTGACCACAAGGATGCTCCAACCACTTCTGAAACAACAGTGTTGAAAGTACCAACACCAATTCTCTTTTTGCCACTTGTAAAGGATTATCTCTTTCCCACACTTCAAAGTTTTGGATTTCTTAATTTTTGAAGGTCTTACTTTGAAACACAAAGCAATTATTTGGAAAAGAATATATGTCAATTTGTGCATTTGCATTAGTTCCATCAGACAGCTCCCACTGACTGCAGCCACTTTGCCTTGCCACTAATCAATGATCAACATGAGGCCTGTCGAGGGAGGTTAATTTTACAAAATAAGCTTGATCACTTCTAAAGCTTCCTGGAAAGGTACTGTTGACTTCTGCAAGATCAAACCCTTATACCTTGGGGTTTAACTGTGTGTTATTTGGTTATAACCATTTCTTGGTAGCTTTTAACATTTTGTACAGAAGAGCACCAATTCTATTTTTTTTTATGTACACAAACAATTCTATTCCTCTTACTGGGAGTTGCATGCATGCTGAGACTAAAATTTGGCCCTTCAGTTATTTTATCAAGAGCAGGATGTGGAAAGTCCTACAGAGTACTACCTGGGGACCCTCCTTCTGAAATGCAAAGTGAACCTCGGGGGACTGGTATTTTAGACATTGTCCACCCAGGTTTGGTTCATTTCAAATTGGGTATCTGCAGCTCGAATGGTGGGTGTATTGACAGATTACAGGAAAAGAACCAAACTGTAAGCATTGGAAAAGCGTAGGTGATTGAATACATGGAAATGAAAATGAACTGACAGCACTCAAAATTTGTATGACTCATGCAAACAGCAAATGTCTAAGCAAACACAGTATGATATACTGGGTCAAACAACATGTGTTTAGTACATTATTAAACAGCCTCCAAGAAAATACTTTAGTTTAGAAAAGAGTGTTCTTATAATTAACTAGCGATTAATTTTTAACTCTCAGATTATCTTGTTGTTCTTTTTCAAGTTTTAGACAAATATTCTTTTTATTTCTGAAATTCAGCTGTGTTTTCTAGGCTCAATGTAAATAGAAATAAAAAGACAACATAAAGTGTGTATCTTATATATTCATTTACTACACATATCTCTGTGTCTTATACACTGTTTACAAAGTCTAGGTTCTGACTGTAGGGGCTTGAGTTTCACTTACATCTGATAGATTCGGCACACTAAAAGGAAACATCAGTCAAGCAGAACCGATGCTAGCTTACCATGAAAGAAATCTGTCTACAGAAGGGGAAAGTAGCAGACAAAGTTCTACAGAGTTAAACATCAGCTGAAAAAGAGAGGCTATTGATTATTCTGCCTCTGTCTGCTCCGACATTAAAGCCAAGAGCAGACATTAACTAGGGAGGCATAACCTTTCTAACTTTCTGTCCCAGATTAGGCACAGAGGATGTTTGCTTGCAGAACTGATCTTCAAGAAAACTGAGCAAACTCAAGTACGTGGAGCCAGCCTGAACAACTCCAAAAATATTTTCCTGCTTTTATTTATCTGACTTGTATTCTCAGACGAAAATTCCGATATTGCTCCTGTGCTCTAGGCAAGTAAAAAGCAATCCTCATTTGCCTAATGCCATTCTTCTCAGTGAGAGACTGCTGTGTTTTACAACTAAATTATGGAACTCATATGGGGATGGCCATGTTTTCTGGATTCCACCCCACAAACTACAGAAAAAAAATTAAAAAGTGAAACAAAAATCAATCGAAAGACTCTTCAGGTCATGTAGAGCATAATGTGTTTTATAACATTTTATGGTATAGCGTATAACCTCAAAAACGCTCTGCCTACTCACAGTGCTGGGCAGCATGTCATGGCAAGCATGCTTTTTTTTACATGAACTACATTTTTTACATGAACCCCGTATGCAGGGTAATCCACGATAATTTTGTACCTTTGTTTTTAACAGTATTTTTCGCAAACTTAATGCAATTTAAGAAAATAGAAGAGACCCCTTTACAATGAAGTATGAAAAACGGGAAAAATTTGATTTCTGAAAATTTATCTCCAGTGCAGATTATTTCTTCATAATCTGTGGAAAACGGAAAGGAATTTATAATTAACTTTCCATGTGGGAACATGCAATACAGGGGTCGAGCCTAAATACAGTCCCATTATGACACACTCCTTAGCCTACCTTGTAAAAATGACAACAGATTTTTTTTCCACAACCTGACAGTGTAGGAATTAATTTGAAAGTTAAGTAACCCATAACTACCTTAAAAAGCAAGCAACAACAGATTATTTAATTTCACTTTCAAGTCCAGAAAAAATTCTCTTGAAAGATCTGGAGAGAAATGAAATGAGTCATGGCAGGTTTCTTCATGTGCCTTTTATTTATATTAAAATTTAAAACAGAACAGGCTGAAGAATTTTCAGTCTGGAGAACCTTCCAGAGACTTCTGTCTTAATGAAGAAAAGGGAGAGAAGGAAAGAAAGCTGGCTACCACAGGGATTTTTTCCTCTATTAGAAACTCTGGAGTTCTGCACAGAAAGATTCTGATTTCTATCAGTTGTAAAGGCAGAGCAGGAGAAGTAATAGCAGGAACTAGGTGTGGCGATAACTTTATGAACTCTTTGGGCAATGCCAGAGGAACTGCTGACTCTGTCCAGCAGAATGAAAAAGGTGAGTGAATGCAGGCCAGCATCTCTGAGAGCTCTCACTCTGCATCTTGTAGAAGATTCCCTAAGGAAGTGAGGGCATTTGATGCTGATTTATGTATATTCTTCATGGACATTGGGATGTTAAGCTGTAAACAAAATACATTTACATTAAAAGCCACTCAGCTACACAATGAAGCTATTGAGCTGCTTCCTACCTTGAGCCATGTGTGACTATGATTGAAAGCACTGGTTTCATTTTTTTTTTGCCATATATATCTCAAAGGAATTTTCAGTTTACCTCTGCTCAGTTCCAACACAATTACCACAAGATCTTATCTGTAAAAATGTACAGCAGCTCTCACCTGTTCATTAGGGTTTTCCATTAACTATTAAGTTGGAATGAAGGAACAAAGGCACAGAAGGCAGCACCAATTGCAGTAAGCCATGGGTGAACATTTTCAAATTGTTGTGCAATTACAGAATTAAACTATGGTAGTTTTTGCTTAATTAACAAAGGAGACCTTCTTCCTAAAAACAGTTACAGAGATCTCTGTGTTTACATGTTCTTTGAGCTACTCAGTATTAAATAATAGGGCTAAATTATTGTGAGGAAATTACAGACAAAAATGTAAGGAGGCAACACTGAACTCTTCATGAAATTTTAAAGAACGTTATGGCATTCAATTGAAGGAGAAATTTTAGCCACAGCTAGTAAGTTCAAACTTTGATCAGAGCAACCTGGAATTCATCTGATGGGTTCAACCACTGAAAGAAGATGTTAGGACTTAAGACTTCTTATCCTGACACTTCTCCTTTACATAGGACCCATCTCATCTACATTCTCTAGACCATGTGTAGTATAATCATCCAGAGAAATATGACCAAGACTGGAACTTTAACAGCTAATTGGAACTTCAATGGACTACACTGTAACAAAGAGGTAACAAAGAGGACAAAACAAACTAGTTTAAATAAATTTGGGGTGTGGCAGTGGTCTTTTGAGAACTTTATGGGGGAAAAGATGAAGTGGGAACATGGTACAAGTCTACATTCAATATTAAAAGAATGAAAAAAGCACTATTACCATTAAAAAAAAAAATAGAATAACATAATTGTTCTATTTTTCATTTAGGTGGGATATGACTTTTTGCGTATATTTAGTTGAGATTCTACTCTATTATTGTAGTTTAATTTTATAATTGTGCAATAACAATGGAATAATTAAATACGACTCAACAAAAGCAGCAAAAATAAAAATCCATAATTTAGCTAATTTATATAAAATTTCTATGATAAATATTTCACAAATTATTTTATTGGATGATGCACTTCAGGTTTGTCTAAGTTGAATTTAGAATTGGGGCAGTTCAAGTCATCTGATTACACAGACTTTATTAATAGATTAAAAATATATTAATCTGGAGGGGTTCTTTTGCAAACACTGAAAGCTTCTAAATGCTCTAGAAACTATTAAACTGAAAAATAACTCAATTTAAAATTGTTTAAAATTAAAGGGTTAATTTAAAAAAATGACTGTAGTTTATGCCTGAAGATGCTTTTTTTCAGGCTTCCCCTCTTCTCAATGTTTTCCTTTTTGAGATTTGAATCCAGTGGTGCTTTTCTGAGAACTGTACTGATGCCAGGGGAATGCTATGCTGGTGAGTACTTCACAGGGGAAGTACTGAGGTTTATTCACTATTGTTCCTTCCAAGAAGGTAAGAACCAAAATTTCCTCAGTAATAAAGTCAATACAAAACTAAGATTGGCATTAAAGGCCATTTCAGATAATAAAACAGTGATGTCAATAATGATTCCACAGCTCCCTCTTTTTAAAAAAACCTCCAAAGGAGTAACTACAGTGTAACCAATCAGCATCCAAATTAATGTAATTTAATCTGATTATGAGTTCAAACTGTCTCCAGACCCAGCCAGACATGCAGTCCTCATGTCATTTCTACATAAGGCTGTTAACTGATATCCAATTTTCCAATAAATTGCTTAAGAGAATGATAATCAGTTAAAACACACCTGTACAGCATATGGTAGCCAAGCAATTTACTGCATTACTTTAATTAGGCTTTTTTCCTACTTGATTATCAGTTCCAATTATAAAACAAGATTAATAATCCTGCTTGTGCACTCTCCTCCACAGTACAGACGCAGGTGCCACACTCCACTGCACTGCCCTGCACCCCTCCTGCTACTGTACTGGGTTAAACACTTTTCATCTGAACTGCTCCTGTAATCTGTCTGTCTTTTGGCTTCTTGATCCATTCCCATTGCTTTAGGCTGTGGCTGAATATTTTTCCTCTAACAATGACAGCAAAAATTATCACATGTTCAGACCTGAGAGAGAGAGAGACAGGTATGCACTCTTTAACCCCTTCCTAGTGCCTCAGAGTTGGCCCTGGGCTCATCAGGTTATTTGCAGATAGCTCTGTGACCTCCTGGCAAGGAATCTATAGCAGTGAGTCTTCTCTTTCCTAAAGACTCAGGCTGGCAGCCAGGAGTGGAGGGGTTTTTTTTAATTCCTCCTACTCTGATGGTTCTGGACTATGATGACTTAAGACCTACCCTTAATTAGAAAGCAATCAAGAGGGGCTTCAAATCTGATAGCAGCTGTGAGCCAACTACAAGGTAGCATGCATGGTGCTAAAAGCCCAGAGAGTAACTAGATTACACATTCCAAAGAGAAGGAGCCTGAGAAAAAACTCAGGCCCAGTAGCAACTGTGTCACCATCAGGAGCTACCATTGTGCCCACCAGACTACATCAGGCTGGCCCTCTGCAGGTTTCCTTAAGCACAGGGAGTACCAGTCACATACTTCATCATCACACATTCAGCTAACACAGATGTTTGTAAAGTGAAAAAGGGAAATTGTAAAGAGAGCTAGATACACATTCTCATCTTGATGTGTCTGGGAAACGGGAACAAGGAAACAACAATGTTAAACTTTGATCACCATTTCATGAACCTCTAAGGAAAATCCCCTTTTGTTCACCTGGGAAGCTCCAGATAATGTTCACCTTGTACATGTACCACTAAAAGCCCCTGAAACTCCACTGTTTCCTTCCACCTCAGATGCCTATACTCTTTCTGACATCATAATAGGTAATGCTGGGACTCTTACAGCACCATTCTGGACTCTTATCAGGGAGCTGTCACGTAACACAGTAATCAAGACAGATCAGAAAGATGGATATGAGCATGCCAGAGAGAAGATAACAGCCTGCCAGAAAGGTAATGACTGTCATTGACCCCAGGTGAAAGCATGCTGACTGTGGTGGTGGCCTCACTGCAACTACAGCAAACAAACATGGGGACTGTCCTCAGGGCTGCTGTGAAGCTTGGATGGACAAAATGCAATGTAAAGGTATCCTCTTTGTTTACGTGAGTACCCTCGTCCTATTTAGGATAGCTATTCAGTTCATTTACAGCAACTTCCTTTTCTGAGAGTTAAAATGAGATGTCTGGCCAAATTTGCTGAGGCCATATGACTAGTGAGACCTCATGACAGCCAAAACGAAGAGGCCTGCCCTCTCCAAGTTGTAGAGAGCTGTCACATAATTGTAACTCGATAGCATCTCTACATTTTGATTAGATAAGTTCATTGCATTTCAGTATGACAGCTGAGAAACACATGGTACACCATCAGGAACATGTAACTTCCCATTAATTTGCACAATTAGTGACATTCTTTTTCTCTGAGCTCTCACAACCAGCCACCAGAACAAAATGGAGACATAAATTCAATCACTTGTACTTACTGTTACTGCTAGTGCTACTGCCAATGCTGTCATTCCTAAGAGAGCTGGCAGCAACAGGAGGAAACAAAAATGTTTTTGTGACAGCGACTCTGGAATCTAAATAGAAAATGAACGTGTCAGAATTATGAAACTTAAACCACAGTTCCCTCTATATAAGCCAATGGGCAACAGGAGTACTCTGATGTGACTATAGGGCTGTTTTAAAAGCTGGCTGTACGACTGTTCATAAAGTGGATTAAAGCCAAAAAAGGCAGTTTTATTAAGAAGCAGAAGTGTCTACTGATCTGCTGCTGAACAGCTAATCTGGAAAAGCAGTTGCTGCTTACAAGTTCTTAGGTTATGGCACTGATCTGCTTCTAGTTACTACTAAGGTAACTGCACAACTGGACACATTGCCCTAATTAAAAAGCTAATATCTGTCACTAGAGAGAGCAAAAGAAAAGGCAATACAAACCCTCCATTTACTGGAAGGATAAGAAAGAGCTGCAGGAGCTTGACTTCAGCTTGTTAAAATTTTAAAACGAAGTAAACATTGCCCTGTTCAGGAAAAGTGGGGTGAAATTGAAGGTGACTCGAGGCTGCTGTGATTTACAGCTTGTCCTAGCTTCCTCTCCTTTCAGTTGTGCAATCTTAGCCTCTTTTATCGCCTTATAAAACTAAATAGAGCATTAAGAGAAGATAAGAAGAACAATGTAAAAAAGACAATTCAGGATAAATTTTGGATGAATAGAAACAGAGCAGCATAATGTGAGGTTATTTTGATTATACTGAGAAATGATGTATCTAAGAGTGATGGCACTAGAAATTGACTTTGAACAGAAACACAACCTTCAGTGTCAGCAGTAATTTTAATTTGCAGTAAAAAGGTGACATGGAGGCATGGTATCAGATCCTTAGCATCTCTGAAATCCAAGGAAAATCACACATTTATATCTGCCTATAGATTCTGCTCCTCAAAAGGAGATCCCTCTTACCATTCTCAGGTGTTCCTACTGTTGAAGGCAGAATGCAGTCATTTTTATCCAATCTGTCTGCAGACTCTTTGTAGACCTCAATGGTACTATTAAAGTGCCTAAAAAAATCCTCAGGAATGAAGTGACCTTCTTCATAAAGGTGACCATTTTCTTTTACAAAATCCTAGAGTAAAATATAGAATTCAGCTTGAAAGAAGGTCAAGGGAGATACTCGTTTCAATACCTCAACAAATGATAAAAAAACCCAAAGATTATACAAAATCGTTTAAATTTTTAACCTGCAGACAACCAGATTAGCTATATACAATCGTCATAAAACATACAAGACTACTGATCCGAGGATTTCAAATAAGGTTTGCAAATAGAAATTATTTATTAATACAGTGATGCAAAATTGCTAAGGAATGCAATCTCCCATCCTATACTGAAAACCAATAGACTTTTTAAAATTCCCCTCTTTAAAAAAAATCCAAAACTCTCTTGATTTCACATTACTTTGCAAAGCTTTACACGAGTCTTAGTCTGATCACATGAACACAACAATCATTGGTATTGTCATTAAGAGAATGGGGAACAGAATACAATAGCTGGGATACACCACTGCTCAGAAACAGGCTGAGATCCCTGATAACGTACCTAAAAATAAGAGCAACTATAAACAAGGAAGCCCAGTCACTCTGAGGTCTAACAGACAAGTTTTATGCCAGACTAAACAACATGATTGAGATCCATGTTGATGATTGACAGTTTTCTTCCTTTTTTTTTTAATGTCAGCAAGTCAAGTTTGGCCTGGGGTTACTCTGTACTCCCAAGAAAGAGGACAGTGGTAAGAACATAGTCTAAGTATGTCCTACAGAAAAATTCCTGGTTTTGGCTCCAAAGTTATCTTCTGTTTGATGCTAAAAGTACTAGACTTAAGATCATTATTCTTGAAGGAAATCCTAGTTGTTTTGCTGAATTACAGGATATTTACTTTTCCATTCTGCAAAATAAAATTCCTCTTCCCCAAACACATCTCAGCTGAGTGCTTTGAATCATCAGGACAAAAATAGAAAAGAAAAAAATACATATACACTGAAGATTGGAGATAATTCAGTTTGAAATTGAAAAGTAGGGAATATCTAAATACAGCAATGCAATGCAAATACATGGCAAGCTTACAAGGTTATTCCACTCTAAAAGCACCTGAGTGCTTCAGTTCATTTGATTCATTCTGGGTGTTGAAAAGTTGCAATTACAACTAAGGACTTAGCTGATAAAAATAACTATATGGAATATAAAATACTTGCTCTAAAGAACATGGTGGATTTTACCCGTTTTATTCAGTGGGACAAAATCTTCAACTACAGAACTTATTTTTAATCACTGATAGTCTGGTCAGATCTGTATAATGGACTAGAAAATTAATTTCTTCCCCCCTTCCCTGCCTGCACAGAGAATGAGACATCTCTTGAGCGAGAATCCTTCCAGCTATTGTCAGACTCCAGAAACACATGGAAATGGACCAATATCCTCTGGTCTTTGTATAAAAAAGTTAATTAAACCATGGAGAAGCTTTCAGAGCTTCACACACTGTGATGCATGCTAAGAGTATATGAATAACTTTAACCACATCATCTTTAAATTTACATTAAGATCATTACCAAAATACATAATTTAAGGTGGACACACAAGGAAGATTTCTGCTAATTTCAAAAAGACCAGAGTGAATTAATTATCTTAGAGAAGATTGCTGCATCTCTGACTTTAAATAATTGCACAAAGATCATTGCATATTCTGTAATTTCCTTGTAAGCCATTTTTCTTTGAAACAGGAGATAACAATTAGACAATGTTAGCAAAATGTACTCGGCATTTCTAAACAAAGTAGGATTTCAGATGCACAGTAATATAAATGAAAATAAATCTAATAAAGCCTAGGATAGTTCTAAACTATTATTGAATATTGTGCAACAGAAAGTAAAAAATAAATATCCAGTACAAAAGCTGAAACTCTGTATAAGATTACCTTGTTTTTATCAAAAGCAAGGCATGCCATAAGATCATTAATTATCCTTGTGAGATTATTGATGATTGAATAGTTGCTTAAAACATCCGACATATCTGGAATATCTGAAAATTTCTGGAGAAGATTATGTAGACTCCTTGAAAATTCAGGCACCATCAAATGCAACCAACAGTGATTAGGCTGTCAGGAGATAAAAAAAGGAACAGATGTAAATTAAATATCAGACATTTGTAAAAACTGGTTAAACATCTCAATGTGCAAAAGTAAATTAGGCTATTCTTTCCAATTTAAACTATCTCAAAAGCATAAATTACAATTATTCTTTACTGTGGCAAATTTGCTCTTCAGCCCTTTTGGTAATATTTCTATTCTTACTGATACTGACGTATTTATGGTTGTCTGTTAAATGCTATCCCTTCATTAAATTCTCAGTGACAAGTGTCAGTGTGTTGAGCATTTCAGCCTTGGAACATGTTTCTATAAACCTTGGTCTATGTTTTCATTAACCTATTTTTTTAAAAATTCCTACTGCCTTAAAAAATCTTTAAATATCAATTTTCATTTATTGTTGTTACCCGACAGGACTCAATTAACCCCAAAGATCCTTGATTTAAATTTCTTATCAGGAGGGTTTCCATAAAAATTTTGCATTAAGTCCCTGTGCGCTTTTATCCAGCTTTAAACAAGTTAGCTGAGTTAATTCTTTCTCTTCAGCTTTTTCACTAAATGCCATTACTGGGAACAGTTTCTAGATCTAAAAGCCTTTCTTCTTCCTGAGTCTTTGATAACAAAAGTGTTCTGCACAGCCTGTCACTGTACACTAACACTTATGCAATTAGTTTGCAGACAAAGTTTGCACAGCTGTTCACATGACTGAAACCTGGTAATTCATCTTACTATCTTAGAGGAAGTCATTAACTTATTTTACTTACACATATATATATATGTTTATATAACAGTATTTAAATAGAGAAAAAAGTCACCCAGCCCAGGAAAATCCCTAACCCAGTATGATCAGCAAAAATACAGGTAATGCATTAGTCATAACTGCAATTTGTACTTGTAAATATCTTCCCAATAAAAGCTAAAATTTTAATGGCAAATGTTATGAGAATTTTTTCCATATATGGCATTATTTTTCCAATATTGAAAATGTCTCATTAAAGCCTTCCAGATACAAAGATCTTGTCCCAACAAACCCTAAGTACCCTTAGTGTCACTAAACCAGTTTGCAATTGCTGTCCAGTGGAAAGGCAGCATCCACTGAATCCACCTTCTGCAACACACAGCAAAGGTTTGGCAATGTATGCACTTCTAGGCTTTATCTCATTTTACTCAATTTCTTCATTAAACCTCTTTATTAAAAAAAATCCACAGGTGTTGTTCTGCTTTGATGTGTAGATGTTTCTGACATGAAAAAATACACTTCACATTTCTGAAGACTAATCAGATTATTAGGCTTCCAGGCTTAGAGAACCAAATGTAAATACATTGTTCAGCTCCACCTGAATTTCCACTTCTGTGTACAACTTTCTCACACAATGATAACCTGTGGCAAGTCAGTGATACAGCCTGCAATTATCTCAACAATCACTTAGAAAAGAAAGAAAGAGAAAGCAAAATGGATAGCATTTGGCTTGAGTCTGTTTCCCTTTTTTCCTTCGAGTACAACAAGGTGAGGAGGGAGGCAGAAGTGAATAAATCAGAGAAATCTTGTTGAAACATACTCCCTTCAAGCCCCGTATGTGGTACCATGTCCCACTGCCCCCACGAGACAGGCACTGCATTTTCTTTCCTCTACTATGGAGCAGGAACACTGACACAGAACTATTGTGCTTCCCTGAACTGGAAACCTCGAAAACCTTTTCCTTTGAGGTTTTGTGGGTGAGCATTCTCCTCTGGCAGAGACTAGCATAAGCTTGCTGTTTTTCCTAGTGAGCATTTGGCAATTCCAGCAGGGAGTCTATTTTGTTGCTCCCGTGGTTTAGCATGCGTGTGGGAGTCTCCTCTAACTGAACTGTTCTGACCTACAAAGCTGTATTTCACAAAAGCTCTAAGTTCTCTTTTCAGTAATGTCAAGCTGTGCAATCACTTGCTATGTCAATACCTACCAAACACGGGGATAAAACTGCTCTAATTGAAAAATATTACATTATTTGCAAGCAGAAATGGAGGTTTAACTGATATTTTGTGTAAACTTTAACCAAATTTTACATTTTAGGGCAATTGCAAATCTGATTTCCCTTGTACTTCCGGGTAGCTCTCATTTGGCTTTTATTCTCTACATTTATGTAAAAGTTTGAATGTTACCTCTTTGTCTGAATTCAGCCCTTTGCTGTCATCTCTGCCTTTTAACCTTCAGGTTTGACTACACAGTTCACTCTATACAAGACTACTTTTAAAGCCACTCAGTTGCCTTGAGCTAGTGCATAATGCAACAACCCTTCTGTTTAATGGATGGGTCAGTCTGTTCCTGTTACATGCACTACACTGGCTTCCCATCTGCTTTGCATTCACCCTGCCTTCCTACCTTTAGTCATCTACATTTGGGACTTGCCACCTTGGGCACACTTCCCACTTTATGCACGCACTGAGGATAGAAATCTATTGAAAAAAATTGCAGAGCACCATTTCAATCCCTTCAGTATTGAGCAAAGAGAATTTACTTCAGGCAAAGCCATGGTTTTCCCAGGTTTCATGGGCCAGAACAAAGCCTATTTATTCAGCAAGCCTTGCTGTGGTATGCATAACACAACCTGAAATTACCAGAGAGGAATTTGGCAAAGTGGGATCTGAATACAGCTGACTACTTCCTCCTGTGAAGGCATGAGGCCAAGAGCTGCACCTGCCATTACCATGACTGAAAGTGTCTGCAAAGAGAACATGGAAATCTCAGCTCTGAACCTCACTTCTTCCTTTTTATTTCTTGGCAGCTTGCTGTAAATGTAAACTGGATCTAAATTTCTGGATACGATGCATCAAGATGACATAGCACTGAAAAGAATGGAAAAGAGCCTGCGTGCTGGCAGTCAGAACTGAACCATGGTGAGAGGCAAGAGTGAGAACAACCAGGACTCATTGCTCAAGCAGGTTCCCTGGCCTTCTTCATCCAACAACACCCCCAGGAGTGCAGTGGAGGGAACAGCCTCAATCCAGACCAACAGCTAACGGGCTGGAAGCTGGGGAAACAGCACTCAGGACACAGCTGTCCTCCACAGATGTGGATATCATCACACCAGACACCCAGATCAGTGAATTTCAAAAAGCCCAGCAGTCAGTGGATGGTGACACCCAGTCTTGCTTCCTTTTTCTCTAAATATTGGCTATTATAAGAAAGTGAAAATTGTCCATTAGTTTTATTTATATAGGATCTAGTACCTAACTTCCACAGCATTTGTTCTGCACTTTTCCTGTCTAAAGAACCAACTTTAAACTGGGTTTTCTAAAGTACTCTAAGTTTTAGTAAAAGCCTCAAACTTCCAGCAAAACTCTTAAAAACACTTCTACATCTGATATAACCCTTCATAATCTCATAACTCAGGGCCCTTCACTATCCTGTAGCATCCTTTTCCTTCTCCCATCTTATTGTTGCTTCTGGCATAGTTTTCCAATATCAATAGATTTATTTATTTATTTATTTATTTATTTATTTTTATGTTTATTTTTAATATTGCTAGATTTGCCATCTTGTTATAGGGTAGGATGCATTTTTTTTTTTTTTTCATGTGTATCACATATTGGAATTTTATAGTGAAAACTTTGCACAGACACAAAAACAGCTTCTTACATCTAGCAGATAATTTTCAGATACTGATGTATGTGTACAATGATTAATTCTTAAGCACAGCAGTCAGTTTAACTTTTGTCAGTTTAACTGACAAAGTCATAATTTTCTTACTTTTTTCCTTGCCTTAAAACAATAAAGCATAATTTGTACTTTCACCTTGTTTCCTTTTTTCCTTTTTATTGCAATCTATGCAACAACCAAGTTTTCAATATATAATCTCAAAACTTTTGTTAAATTGATGAAAACCAAAAAATAGTCAGTAGATTGAGCAATAAAATAATATGATTTTTAAATAAAAATGTTATAAAATTTTAAAGTGTATAGATAGCTCTTATTTGAAAGTTCCACTATGTATTAAATATGGGATTATAGAGAAAGAATAACACAAAGCATGTTTGAAATCCTATTGGTTTGTTTAGTTACTGATGCTACTATTTCTGAACTTGGGGCTCTCTTAACTGGCTACTTAGTATTTGTTGTTCTCTGATAGCAATTCCACTGGCTAAAACAAGAAGGACTTCTACAGTATGTCCCAAATTCCAATTACAGAGAGCCTATTTCTTTAGGAAAGCAATATTTTTGAATGGACACAATGAAATAATACTGGTGAAATAATAACACAAGGAAAATCAGACTTTTCCAGAAAAAAAAGTCAAAAAATTTAATAGGAAGAAACATTTTCCTAGAATTCCTGTAATTAAAAATCTTTTAAGGGACTTTAGGAATCTCTACATTTCGTTTAAATAAATATGTGGGAACCACATGAAAAGTGAAATAAACATCATTTAACTGTAACTTGCTAGAGACATAGGACTAGGTACAAAATGTTAGAGCCATCACTGGTTCCAGTGGGCTTTATTATTGGAATTAACTTGAAGAGATTGTACGTACCAGACTATCCATCTTCGGGACATATTTAAGGGTTATCATATAATCATTAGGGAGATTTCCAACCTACAATAAACAGATAATAAAAATGTTATTACTTACTACACAAAGTAAGACTTCATTTCCATTACTGCATTCAACAAATTCTACCAAATATTCAACACAAAATTTTCAGTAATTTACCAGGTGCAGGCAAAAACGGTTACTTACATACTCACTTTCCTGTGAGTACTTATTTGCTTACAAGTGAACCATCTTTCCAGAGCTCTGTAATATGCCCAGGTCTGATCTGATCTCATCATGTTCAATGCTACTCCTTCCCAGCAGAATTGAAGTCAACAATGGGTTGAGAAGAAGTGACGTTTTTCATTACTGCAGAAACTCCACTGCCCTTATGTCTTTTCATGCCTTGAAGTGTTTACATGACAACTCCTACTGTAGACAGCAGAGGACCCAGAAGTATCTAGCCTTTTCCCTTCAAATAACATCCAGCTTCAACGTGCATCCAAACCAAAATACTTGCCTGCCTTGTGCTCAGTTATGGACCAGGTCAGAAAAACACTTGAGCACAACTTTAACTATGGAGCTGTGCTTCTTACTAATGATGAGGAATATCATTCTATCATAGCAATGTCCTGGGGCAAAGGAGAGCTTCCACACATGTAAGTTGCAGCTTTGCAGACGTGGGTGAGTATGAAGTGTGCTGCAGAAAAGACAAGGAGTAGAAGGAGAGTTCCCACTGAATTATACTGTACAGTCTGCCACAGATGGGATCCAGCACTACTGTGAGACATGGTGGAACATCTGGAGAACGGGCTGAGTTGGGAGATGAACAGTCACTGGACTGCCACAAATCCACAGTCTTTATGGATAAAAGATTTAGCCATAATATGATGCTTAATGATAAACCTATTTTCTATCAATGAAAGTGTTGATTGATATTTCTCACCCTAGTTTAAAATTCACATAATCAAAAACAACATGCACAGATGTAGCTCCTTTGGTGTAAAAGCATTTCTACCTCAGGTTAAAGATCATTCTGTTATGGCTGCTTTTGATTCTGCTGCTATAGCAACCAGCACAGGGATTTCTTCTCCCCCTGAGCAGTTTTTAGGTAGTATTTTGTTTGGCAAAATATATTGTTTGATTTTTTATTTAAAATTTTGTTTCAATTAAAAATTAAACCAGTTATTTCAAAACATTATGGTTCTACAAATGATCAAGGACAATTCTTACACACAGCCAAACACAAGTGAATTCCAAACTTTTTTTAATTTATGTGGGCTAAAATTTTTCAGCTCGGTGACATCTATCTTTCTCCCACAGCTTTGGAACAGTTACTATATAAATGATCCTTAAAAATTCCCTCACATGAATCAGTTGTTTCTAGTTTTATTCTTCTTTTATTTTTATACCTACATATCCCCAAAGCAGAAGCACCACTAAAATTCTCTATATTAATTTCTAATTACCTGGCATTTTGGGGAGTTGATTCAAGATGCTATAAATACTGAAAAATATTTCAATACATTTGTTCTTTCTTTAGACCATCAGATTTATTCTAAATCCTCCTCCAAATGTTTTGTCTATTATTCCTTTCTTTAAAACATCACAGCATCGCAGCATAATAATAGGTATTCCATTTTTTTTCTAGCTTCCTTTGCATGCCTAGAGAGGAAGGATTAGCACCACTTTAAGCAGCATAGGAAGATGCTACTCTATGTGCAAAGTTTCCCATACTGACTCTAGAGGGATTCCACACTTAGCAATGCCAGCAAAACCACTGTTCTTTAAGAAAGGTCACTGGAAGATTAAATTTGTTCCATATCAATGAACACTACAAGAATTTATATGCATTATGTATACAATCTACTTTCCTGGCATCAGAGCCTCTCAAGCACTTTTCACGCACAGTTAAAAAAATTTAAGTGCCCAAGAGCTCTTACACTTTCTCAATCAGAGCTGGAGCACACAGCTCAGCCTCAGATATTCCTCTCCTTGACAGACTGCGAATCAGATAAGATATTTTTGAATTTACTACTAAAAATGAAGATCACTGGGAGGAGGGTGTCAAAGAAAAAATACATGCACTGCCTCAAGAACAAACTTGTTAAAGTTTTGTTGACTGAAGTCCACATGTCAGATGCTGTGCTGGTAAACGATGGATCTCAATCAAAGCGAGGGAGTTACATTTGTGTCTCACTTGGACTTCCCAACTTACACACGGAAAACAGGGTAAAGCCCCTGATGTAAGAGTGAAGGATATGTCTGTACTAGGTCTGCATTTTGTACTCTCTTGGTTTGCTGAAATGTATTTTGAAATTTTGTTGAACACTAACCAAGACTCTGATCCAAACCCAATCACTTGATTTTCATCTGCTGAAATGATCCTGAAAGGAAGGAATGAACTCTGCACACCCACTCTGTGCAAGGCTCCTGACTGCTGTGGCTTCCAACAAGGAAAGGCAGCTCTGACCTGCCTGAACAAGGGTGTTTGGAAAAGAACTGTCCCTTGAAACCACCCAAGTCCTAGAATGGCATTTTTATTAGTTCCTCCATTCAACTCCATGAGTACAGTGACAGATCTGGGGGGGCCACAAAACACCTGCCTGCACGACTTACCTAGGTTTAAACAGAAGTAATAGTTTTGATTATTATGGAGAATGTCAACTGATAATCTTGCAAAGGAATGTATAGAAACAAAATGCATTGAATTGCAATTAAAATTGCAAAATGAAATTTTTTTCTGATTTCATGGCTGTGTATGATTGCAGAAATCCTAATAGGCTGAGAAAATTTGAAGAGCAGAGAATCTAGACTTATGTCTTTACATTTATACAAAACCAACAATATGTGCTATATTCCCAGTTGTAACAAAATCTCAAACAGGGGAATATAAGATTTTCACATAGAAAGGTCTGAATATTTAATACAGCACTGTTAATACTGCATAATCCAAACATGTTTTAAAAAATGCTCATGGTCAAATAGATGGGGAGATGAAAAAAGGATGTAAAAGTGATTTGGGTTGCATAAATTACTCTTTCATTGCAACAGCAGACATGAGAGATGACCTATCTGCAGTCACATGCTTTGAAATGAGGGTTACTCTGCTCTTGAAAATTCTCTTTATTGCAATTGTTATGAAAATTATAAGGAAACAAGCAGAGATACAAATTTTTTATACACATATAAAAAATAAAGTATGTTAACAAAGTAAAAATTACTGTTTTCCATTGTCAGTGTTTTCTTTTTTACTCTGAGCATATGATGGAAAAAAACATACTGTCTTTTTGGATATAATTTCTATCCTGAATTTCTCTGTATTTGTTTCCTTTTTCCTGTTCTTTTCATAGAATAATAGAGTTTGTGTTGGAAGGGACCTTATAGATCATCTGGTTCCAAGCCCCTACCATGGACAAGGACATCTTTCACTGCACCAGGTTGCTCAGAGCTCCATTGAACTTGGTCCTGACACCTTTCCAGGGAAGGGCCCATTTATCTGGGCAACCTGCTCCAGTGCCTCACCATCCTCACAGTAAAGAATTTCTTGCCTATATCTAATCTAAATTTCTCCTCTTTCAGTTTAAAGCCATTCCCACTTGTCCTAGAACTACATGCCCTTGTCAAATGTCACTCTCTGGCTCTTTCTCACTGCTTCTCTGGCTTTTCCAGCAGGAGCTTCCATGTCTGTCCTTCATCTCTGCAATCTACTCTATCTTATCTGCTAATGAAATAGTTAATGAAATCATCATTTGGCTTAAGACAACATGCTAACAATTTCCGTTCACACTTTTTACAGTCATAGTGGCAGATTATTTGCAGCATAACAACTCTGGATAATTTTTTATAACCCCTTCACTCAGGAGAGTTAAATCCATTTAAAAATAAAAATCAAATGTGGCAAAGAGTGTAAAGTACATATTTACAGCAAAGATGTAATGTGAAAGCAAAGTATTTGACAGCATGTCTCAAACAAGGAACTGGTCAGTAAATCCTGACTATTGTTTGGGATTCCAACAATCAAAAGAAGAAAATTGCTTTAGATAAGTACTTCATGGAAGAAGAGGTATCTTAGATTTTGTTAATGGACAAACCAAAAATATGTAGATATATTCTGTGCATACTGCACAGCTCAGTGAAAATTCTATTTATATGTAGGTTTAGATGTTCATATTTAACATATATATACATATATACATATTTAACATATATAAACATATATACATCTGATTCCTAATTCTTATGCAAAATCAAACGCACAATTACAGCAATGCAGCTTTCTGCTGACTTACCATGCTGAAAAGAACAATGGAGACAGACTTTACTGACAGGTGCTGCAATTACAGTTTCATAATACAGAACATTTGCTCATCAAGTAATGTGCTTCCCTGTAGACATCTTCATTACAAAAGAAGCAGGAGGTCACGTGATGAGTCGTGCAGAATGAATACTCTAAATACTTTCATTCTCTATAGGTATGAAATTATGTTCTTTTAAAGTTCTCACCATTAAAAAACAAAAATGATTGTTCAATTGTTCTTTGCTTCTTAAGATCATTTTACTTATGATATACTCTTCATGTGACAAAATTATATTACCTAGATGTGAATAAATTTAATCTTTCAGAATATACAAGTCATTTTTTAAAATGAAGAGATACCAGTCTGATTTGGTCTTACATTGATTAATGCTCAGAAACCTTATGGTTATTGAATTTCTTTCTTTCTTTCCAATCCTTTCTTCTGGACCCTACCATGATGCTAGTGAAAAGATTAAGACCACTGAAAACAAGTTATGCCACACATCTGTCTTCAATTTATTACTCAAAACAAAGTTGATAGGCAAGTGACCCACATTTTCAGGCACTGCACAGCATGCCTTACTTGTTCTCCAATAGCTAAAGCTTAGTAGACATCTCACATCTATATTCACAGAGGGTCTTGGCTGAGGCATGTTCTCATATCCCTGCAGGACAATAACGCTGAGCAGAGCACAGCCACAGTCATGCTCAGGAGTTTTCTACAAGTGAGGTAGAGGGTTTACACTACTTGGAGCAAGCCCAGTACCAAATGAACAAAGACTAGGTAGGGAATTGTGGCACCGTTTAGCAAGCTGCAAGTGCAGTGCAGTACTAGTGCTTATGGCGGGGGGAAACACTGGAATAAAAGCCAAATGTGGGATATGGATTCATACTGCAAATAATTTTAGCATGAAATAGGAAGAGGATGGGAATCTGCCTGGAGTTCATCAAGGAGTATCTTTCCTGTGGCCACAAACAGTGTAACAGATACCATGGAAATAATGAGAAGAATCTGAGGGCAAACTCAGCATGTGTTATGACAACACAGGCAGTGTTAATAGTACCTTTGAAGATAAACCCAAGAAGCTTGCCACTGATAGTGGAAAAAAAAAAAAGAGGAACAGCTTGAAGGAAATAAGTAGAAGATAAAGGGTCAGAGCAGCATGTGAACAGACAGAAGAGCAAAACTACAGAAGCTGAAACTAGAAAAAGATTTTTCATAGACTGGATTTTTATCCACCAAGAATTTGTAAGAAAAATGTACTTGTTTGTCCAGAGAACTACAAAAAAAAAAATTCTCCTACTGTGACAAGAAAAACAATGAAGGTTCTAAAAGTGAACTTTGAAGGGTCTCTGAAGCATGAAGAGCCAAATCAGACACCTTTGTTGAAGACTTGAATGGCAGGAGAGAGAGGGTAAAGTAACTTTACAGCGAGGAGAAAGGCCCAGGAAAGGCTAATGTTTTGGGGAAATGAAAGAGATCATACTCTGCCTCTAAGGAGGATTCGTGACAAACTGAATCTAGTCTCTAGACTAGTTATGTCTGATAATTTGTGATGAGACAGGAAGAAGAGAAGCCAATATCCTTAAGTGATGGGACTTGAACAGATAGTTTATTGCATGAAGAGATGGGACTATACTCATGATTGTGGACAAAAAGGGTTAAAGATCATGAAGTCTGGCTGAGAGTAAAGCATTTAGGAATAACTGTTATATCACTATGTCCAAATGTGACAGAGTTTGTGGATAACATCATAATAACTATGAGTAATAATTGTGTAACACTTCTGTGAAATCCTCTGAGCTACTATTTGTTCTCAGTACGAAAGGGAAGGATATTTATTAAAGACCCTATGTTTTACAGGCACAGATTCTTTCAGCAAAGAAATAAAACTTTTACTTAAAGGCCAGTAGGATCTCTAGACAAAGGGAAAGGCTGTGGATGTTGTCTACCTGGATTTCAGTAAAGGCCTTCATACTGTCTCCCACAGCATTCTCCTGGAGAAGCTGGCAGCTCATGCTTTGGACAAGTACACCTTTCACTGGGTAAAAACTGTCTGGATGGCCAGGCCCAGGCACTGATGGTGAATGGTGCCAGAACCAGGTGGCAATTAGTGCTCCCCAGGGCTCACTATCGGGGTCAGCCAGTATCAGTTTGTTATCTTTATTGATGATCTGGACAAGGTGACCAAGAACAGTCTCAGGCACTAAGTTGGGTGGCAGAGTTGGTCTTTTTTCTACTGGAAAGTAGCATGGCTCTGCAGAGGGAGCTGGACAGGCTTTATCAGTCAACTGAGACAAATTGTCTGAGGTTCAATAAAGCAAAGTGCCAGGTCCTGCACTTGTCACAACAACTGTGCCTCATGCTACAGGTTAGGGGAACAGTGGCTGCCTGGAGGAAGAGGACCTGGGGGTGATGGTTGAGAGCTGCCTGAACATGATCCAAGAAGGCCATTGGTATCCTGGCCTATATCAGCAATGGTGTGGCCAGCAGGATCAGGGAAGTCATTGTCTCCCTGTACTTGGCACCTCTGAAGCCCCAGCTCAAGTCCTTTGTCCAGTTCTGGGCCCCTCACTACAAGAGGAACAACAAAGGGCAGCAAAGCTGGGGAGGGGTCTAGAGAGTGGCTTAAGGATTGGGTTGAATTTTGAAGATACACATCATCAGAGCATCATTCATTCATATATTCACAATGAGTATATGGTGTTTCAAAAAGAAGAAATGGTACAAAATTTTTACTTCAATTTGCAAGACTTTTAGGGTCTCCTGAACCATATTTTTAAGTAATATCATGTTGGAGTCTTTTTTATATGTACTAAGGATATAGTTCATAGAGCATAAAAAACCTGTACTTGCCACAAAGTAGTATGATCAGTCTATTCTCTGTAGGCTTCTCCCTTCTCATATTCACACTGTCAGGTAATGAAATTTTGCTTTAAAAGTACTTTAAATCTTATTATGTATTTTTAAATTTTTGTTCTCAATGTCTAGTTGCCATGTTGTAGAATTTCAAAAGAGAATGATCAACATGCAGTATAGTCATGCTAATTGAAACAAAGGGTTCTTATAGTAAACTGAGGATACTAAACTTATTTTCATCTATCTTTTTAATTTTCAAGTGACTTTATTGAATTTTTTCTGCAAATATTAACACAGACAAAAGAGAGAGACAGACTTTCCTCAAAATATTCTCAGAACAACTCATGCAACTCAAAACAGAGAGAATGTATGTCTCTGGGTCTTTGTAATTTATGCATCTCTCTGTTATTTCTCCAACCCAAAGTATCTTTGAACTTGCTTGGTAACTTGACCTCAACTTTGCATTTCTAGGGTGATCTGAGAGATATGGGTCTAAGTCAGGAGAATGACCATACAGCATCCTCATGGAGGAGTGTTGAAGAAGCTCAGCCCAACCCCACTCTACTCAAGCTTGGCAGGAGCAGAACAGTGTAACCTGGACATTGTATTTATTCAAGCTTGCACATTTTTTGTAATTTGCATTTATACGATCTTGAAGTTTCAATTGTACTAAAGGGAAAGTTAATGCATTTCTTCTCAGGACATATAATTGACAAAAAGCTATTACTATCTCTGCACTACACTATTTCACCAGCCCTCACAGGAATTCTGTTGTTCTTGCATGCTTTCAACAGGTTTACATCAAAGCTTATTACTCTTTCTAGAGATGAAATATTATCTGGAATAAATATGCCAATACTTTAAAATTCTGCCTAAAGGGACTAATTTGAAGAACTAAACATTTAAGTAGGAATATAGAGCACTCCTAGAGATTTACACTATGTGCCAATGTATATGAAAAGGACCAAAGAAAACAAGTAAGGAACACTGCACAGGCAGAAAATGCTAGAGGCTTCCTTTTAAGTGTTTGATAATAATAACACTGATGTTGCAACTGTTTTTCCACAACGAAGCCACAATTTTCAGCTAGATTTAATATGCAGGTGAAGATATGCTTGCTAAGTGTTCAGTATATATTCTTTCTTTAAAACGTCAGTGTTGTATCTTACATTATTATAAAATAGCATAATTACTAACTTCAGTGGAGCTAAACACCAGTTGACTTCGCAAGTAGATGCAGTTTTTCAGGTTAATGCAGTGGTCAATTAAGTAACAGTTATAATTTCCTTAAATGAATTTAGTGTTTATATGAAGCTGTGAGTCCTTCAGACTTAAACTTCTGGGTACAGCAAATAGAGAAACATATAATCTGTGTAACCCACTCACACCCAAAGACTGCAAAACCTGTTCAATTGTTATTGTGTTGATTGCTACAATGATGTCTAATATTACACTATTTTTATATATGGCACTTGTCTTTCATATGCATGAGGTAAAAACTTCTGCTTCAATTCAGCTGTGTTTGCTTCCAGTCTGCTCCATGCAAGTCAGTGACATAAAGACAATAATCTTTCATCTGCATGGGGAACAATCTGCTCTGAAAGAATGTTTGAGGAAATAAAGATTTTTGACAACTTTTATTGAAGTTTGGAGTCAGGAAACTACATATGTACATACACTGCATTTTGGTCAAGGTAATCTCTTCAAATAACACTGGAACTTACTCTCACTGCAAAAAAAGGGTTTTGTTCAAGTGACACATGTTGACAGATTTTCTTTTAATATTCTCCTTGTTCTAATACAGATTTACTAACTTTGCTTAGAAATGTAAGTGCCCTTAGACACTGACTATTTTTTAGCAGACAACGCAAAATAAAAGGTACTTACCAATTTTGCAATGTCATTCACATCATCTGTGACTGGATTCCCGCAGGAACTTTGGGCTTTGACAAGAGGATTAAGTAGGAGTAGTTGAAGACAAAAGCAAGTGATAATCCAAGTCTGTTTAGTAAAAAAGAAACAAGAAACCCCAAGTAAGCAATCACCAAATATGAAGTAACAAGAGATTGCAGTAATGTTTTTCATATGTGAAATCCAGAGGCCACAATACTCTTTACCCTTTGTGAAGGCATACTTGTACCATTATAGTATCATCTTCATGGCAGGAATCCACAAAAACGCACTTAATTGATTTTTCTGGAAGCAAATATTGTTAGAGCATTAATGGAAAACCTACTATTGAGCCATCAGGATACTTGCACAGGATCATGCTTATTTGGGATTTTACAAAGTTTACTGATACCAAAGAAGAGAAAGATAAAAACTTTGCAATATTCTTTATCATCAAAATACAGTTGATTATATACTTGTCATTCACCTGATAGACCTGTGGTTCTAATGTGATAAATGATAAAGAACAAAATTATACCAGACTACATCAAGACAAAAGGAGAAAGTTCATAATCACAGCCATTTCATTTGAGTACTTAAACAGCAAGCAAACCCACAACTGGATTCTACCCAAATACTGACATCTCAAGCAGCAATACAGTACTTCTCCAAGTGACGCGCTCTGGCCTCTCAGAAGTGCCAGCTTGCTTTGGCACTACATTCCCCTCCTAAATCCTATTGGAAACAGCAGTGCAATGTACTTACACATGCTTGTGAGCCTCACACAGAAAAGCACCAGATAACTAGCTGCTATGCACCTGGGTGTCTCCTTGGCTACACTGCCTGAACTTCCTCGCCTTCTGTTGTTCCTTGTGCTTCACTGGTTTCCCACAGAGCCCTGTGCCAAGTTTAAGCTGCAGATCTTTATTTCCAGAATGTTAAAGCATTCAAGTTATGGATAATCAAAAGTTGCCTCGGGTTGTGAAGCTTCTTGTGCCAGCTGAGTGAAGCTGTCAGCAAAAGCCGATGATGATGTACATTTACGGCAAGTATGGAATTTGCCTGTGCAGGCTCCTCAGCCTCCATAAGGGCAGGACTGAGATCACAATTTGCTTTTACACAAACTAAGATACAACTCAGCTCCGTCTGTTCTGTATGACAGGTAGAGAACTCCAGCCTCCACCCTTTCCTTCATATGCTCTCCAAACTTTCAATTTAAGACCAAAGTAAATGAAACAACAGCAACACAATTCTCTAGGAAAACAAGAGAAAAATCACAGATTAAAAAGATGAAGTATTATTATAGTAATCTAGAGGGCTTAAGAAACAATGACATTAAAGACCACTCAGAAGCTGCATAAACTTGACAGAACAGTGCCAGGCACTTTACCTACAAGAGCTATTAAATGACAAGAGTAATCTCTTTCTTGTATCTTTTATCTCTTAAATCTTGTATCTATCCTACAAGTAAAACTGGTCGTTTGCTTTCTTAAAATGCAGCTTCCTGACACATTTAGGTAAAACCAGTGTGGGCTGCAGGTAGAAAAGACAATCCAGCTTCCTCTCTCTATCTCTTGCACTGGCACTGATGGTTTAGTCAGTTGTACCAGGCAGAAGACTTCCATTTTTGTTTTCCTGTAGTATTTTTCAGCTTTCTGATCCAAGTAACAGACAGAGCTGAAATGCTCTGTCAAAGATGAGACAAGCCAGGACTGTTGATTTCAGTGGAGCCTGCACTTTCCCTAAACTGTACCCTCAGATGCTACAGAGAAAGAAATCAAAAGTATTCTGAGCAAAGTGCATTTACAATATGCAACATGTCTTTTGAGAATGTCTCTTGCTTCAACAAAACAAGCATTTAGAAATACTTTTATTTTAATATTTGTACAAATAATTACTGAGCATAATTACCAATGTGAAGAATTGAGAATAATTAATCGTTCATCTTACAAAACCTCTGTATTTTATACTACACAAAGCTTTGCAGTTATATATATGAACAATTTGAGCTCTAGGGAAATGCAAAGATGCTGCTAGTTTTAGAAAGAACCTTCAAGAGCTCCTTGCAGTGTATTAACGGTCAAAGCTGTTAAGAATTGGTTTAAAGTGATCAAGAGAAATGTCCCCCTTTCCTACATAAGCTCCAGAATCACAGAGGAAACAAAAGGTGACTCAAGTTAACAGGCTACCTCCTCATCCACAATTTTTGGAAATAAATTGCTGTAAAAAGGGCAAGAAGTTAATGACAACTAGGTCCAAAATGAAATAACTATACTGATTTCAAGAATGAAAACTGAGTAGTTCAACCTGTGGAGTAAAACAGTGCATTAGCAGTTACACTGGCAGGGACTTTTCCCTGACGTGTTCATTGGAGGTGAAGTCCACACCAGGAACTGACAATTTCTTTATTGGATTCCTCAGTATTGATTAGTATGTAAAGATGGAATTTGTTCACTGCACTGTGTCACGGTCATAGGATGATGTTCAATCTAACAGTCCAATAATCAAAAAAGTAACAAAATTCTTTAACTAGAAATACTTTTTCAGCAGATCAACTAAGCAATATTAATAAACACAGTAGCATACTCCAAATAAAACCAGAAGTCTGATGCGCCTTGTCAATTTTTGTACTTCTGAATATAAAGACAGGCCATACATGAAGCTTAAAATCACTATATATTTTATAATTATGTAAATAAATAAGAATACTTTTTCTCCTTTGTAAATGATGGTATTTAAAAGCGTAAAAATTTTATTAATGCTATTAAAACCAAATGATTTGTAAATTTTGAGATTATTTGAGATTTTTCTTCCTTATTTTCTCCCTGTATCATCCAACAGGAACTGAAAATCTTCAACATGTCTATTATACAAAATATTTTAATTATTTGCACTTACAAAATATTTATATTATGCATGCCTTCAGGCACATTATATGTAAGGACTGTACAGATCAAAGAGTTGAGCTATTTTTGTGTTATTTACTAATGACCAAACCTGCTGTTTGAGCAAAACTTGAATAGACTGAATTAAATCAAGGACAGAACAAAAGGGAATCTTAAACAATAGCTTTATAAATAGAGATGCCCATTTTATACTTTACTAAGCATAAATAAAAGTTACCTACACAGCACTCATAACAGATTTCCATATTTAATTACCCCTAAGTTAACATGGGAGTTCTCAAAGGTGGCGTGAGAATTTAATCACACATCATCTGTTAGCATTAAATTGAAGATATATAGCAGACAGAAGGCAGACCTGTATACCAAAGCACCTCTTCCTATTTTTGGCTCAAAAATTATTTAATTGTCTTTAAGTTCTGAAATCTCTTAAATATTGAACCTTGTGCAAAGGGAAAAAATATGATTAGACTCAAAAGGATAATTAAAACTAAAGATTTCAAGCATACACATTTGTTTATTCTGCAAATGATTTGCGCTCTTGATTGTAAGCCATAATTGAGGATTTCAGTAAACTGTATTTTAGAAGCTTAGCTAGTGATCCAATGTGCTGAAGAGCACCCTTTCAGTTGTAAATCAATATTCTTTCCATTTATGTTCTTCCTTTACAATCTGAAGTGTTCACAAAGGCTGCTGAGTGAGTGTTTTTCACAGTAGGCTATGAAAGATACTCAGTCACGTTAATGTTCAGCTAATTCCTTAAGTGGAAAGCAGCAAGGGGAATACCACATTGCTAAATAAACCAAACTTTGGAAAGTCTGGACATTTCCAAATATCTAGTTTGTCCTAATAATACTTCTAATCACAAGTAGGGAGAAGTCATTAAAAAAAAAGGCAAATAACAAACCACAAAAAGCCATAAAGCATAGGGAGAGGTAGTAACTACACAGATGAATGGGTTCTCCATTTTAAAATTTCTTGTATTCAAATCATATTAGCCATGGAATTTTTCATCCCAGTTTCCTGAGCAAATCATCCAATTAACCACAACCAAACCACAGCTGAAGTAGGTTAGCTGATAATGCGGAACAATATTCACCCTGGGCCAGGTTTCCCAAATTTATTTTTCACTTCTGTTAATGATGGAGTAGGAACATCTTTCAATATTGGCCTGTCAGACAGTGTTTACATGCTGCTTTGCTGAGACACAGCTTGTGAACTTCTGTCACAGACAACACAGATTGGTCAGTCATGGACAGCTAACCTAATGTTCATACTTACGCCTTGAAAAGCCTTTTGAAAGAAGATTTAGAGAAAATGTAAATAGCAATAAAATATATTTCTCTGCTTTTTTTTTTTTTTAACCACAAAATGGTTTATGATGCATAGAAGCACAGTAATTCTTTCCTATGTCTATTTAGTTATTTAGCTTGATAGAGATTAAAAAATTAAAGTCATGGAAGAACTGTCTTAAATGAATTAAGAAATTAACTGCCAGCATACAAGAATCTTTAAATGAAAGAGCATTTATATAGAATGCAATCCAATTACCATTTTCATGGCATTCAGTGACACCTTCACACCTGCAAATGACAGTGCTAACTTTAATACCAACATGGCTATGCCTAAATACTGCTTAAATGCTAAACATTGCTCAAGTCCCCCAAAAAGTGAGTTAATTGTGGAAAAAGAAGTCACCGCTCACTACCACCTAGTTCTGAAAACAATGAAGGACTTGGCAAGCACATTTGGAACTGACAATGTCCCCTGCACACTCTCAAGTACCCAGGAAATTACTTCAGGGTAGCAGAAGAAAGCACTGTGTTAACTCTGAAAAACACATAGATAAGTCCAGTGTACACCCCCGTCCATCAAAACTGGCACTAGTCTCACCAAATACAATAGCCTGTGAACTAGGGTGCTCTCCAAGTGACAGACCTGGGTTACATCTCCTGTAACCAAGGTAATTCCAACTCATTGGAGTTGAGTTGTGATGCTCTGATATATCTACCTTGTAATTACCATGGAATCATTGAATCATTTAGCTTGGAAAAGACCTCTAAGATCATCAAGTCCAACCATAAACTCAGCACTGCCAAATCCACCAGAAGACCATGTCCCTAAGTGCCACATCTATACATATACCACTGGAGCTGATTTCCTGTCTATTAAGGTTTCCTGGCTGAAAGGGGCAGACAAGGGGTACAC